CATCTCATCTTTAATCTCTATGACATTTCTAACGTGAATCTTATTTTTATTAGAATTTATGGGTTTATGTTAAAAAAGTATAATAAATACTCCAAAAGTGATTAAAAACTAATGTTGACACAATTGCACCCATAATTAAGAGTATGATAATAAGCATTGTCATATGATGAAAATGAATATTTAATCTAACATATATAAAAGCAAGTGTGTGTTACGTCACACCATGCTGGATTTCTCGAAATTGAAGAAGTCATGAAAGCCAAAATGTATTTATCCATATAGAATAGTTCGATTACTGTCTGACCATAACGATTTTAGTGACGGGGTGTAAGGGGGCTGTGAAACCTTATTAAGTGTAGCCTAGAGGCTAGAGCCAAGTGCATAAAAAATCGATTCAATTTTAGACTTAAATCGTTTCTGAATTAAGTTTTTTCTGTTATATTCCCAATGTTTTAAATAAAAACAAACTTCTTTAATCAACAGAGACTCTAAATTAAGAAATCAACAAACATTTTTCCAATTTTGTTGTCTATACATTTCATTTTATACTTTCAGTGTGTGTATAATGCAAAACCTATGATGGAGCTTCCGCCTATATTTTCATATTCAAGTCAAATTTACTTTTTCATCGTTCATGAATGTGAAATTGGTTAGCGTGTTGGACTGTGAAACTACGATTCCGTTGTTCATCCCCTGTTACCGCAAAAGTAAAAAAAACAAAAACAAAAAAACTTGCTAAGCTCTTTGGGTTCGTTGATGCGTTGTAGGTGACGGTCAAATCCTGATGGTGGATGGTCTTAACTAGCTGCCTTCCAGCTAGTTTATTACTTCCTAGTTTGGAACAGTTTGCGCAGATAGCCCTTGAGTATATCTATAAAAAAATCACAAATATGTTGGAATCAATAATCTAAACCTAGGCATAGAAATATCTAAGTACTCGTAACAATGTTTAAATACTTATTTTAAATTCTTGATAGAGATTATTTTCTTTGTAAACATTTCTTATAAGACAGTCATACTCAATCTCTGTCAACATACTTTGAATAAAATGCTCACTCTTTCTTTAATTAAGTACTATTACATTGACTAACAGATGTCCGTTGAAATAGTTCAAGGGTAATTTTCCTAAAGAATAGGGAGGAATAACTATAGAGTGTGTAATAATTTCCAAACACGACCCAGTCTCTTAATCAGAATTTATAAAATGTGTTGTCAACCCAATCCTTTGGATCAGAGCGTGGCCCGTTTACAACCTTATTTTGTCATTCCTTGTGTTATTTCAATGCGGAAAATTGTATTGCGTTTGTTTATAAAGCAAAGGGGACTCACTGCAATGCATTGTTGTCAAAAATGTTTGGGTTTCGATGCAATGGGTGCATCCAGTACAATAGAGCACTCGGCTTCCCTGAGTAGCCGTGGATATTTTTCCCGCTAGATGCCACCGTTTCTTGTCATTTTATTGAGAGAAAAAACCGCTATCAAATTGAATGCTTTTCGAGAGTTATTATTTCTATAAAAAGTGTGAAAGAGGAGTTACTTAAATCAATTTATTTGACATGATAAAATAAAATCATACATGTATATAATACTGACACGAAAAAAGAAATACGAAATATTTAAACCGAATAACAACAAATATATACTCAAATACGTTCCTCTCTTTATGTATTTTTCATTCATATCTTCGAAATATTTCTTTCATTCAGTCGACGGAGGAAGTCCAGTTCTTGTTGTGAAATTCCATCACAAAAAAGAAACATTTTTTTGTTGTTAAGTAAGTTGTTTTGTTTTTTCTCAGATTGACAGTTCAGCACATACGAAGACTGACTGAATCAATGTTAATATCGATATGAAATTTTAGGAATCGTAAAAAAAAAGAATAATTTTCCTGTAAAGTACTCATGAGAAGAAGCATTTTGATAACTTTTTCTACAATTAACTACTCATGAGATACAGAGCGTGACAGACAGACAGACGTCTGGCCTAAAACTGCTGAATTTATATTGCTGAGGTTTAAACAAAGGAATAAATGGATTGAACAAAATGTGTAATATACAATGACAACAACAATCCTTATCACAACTTAAGACAAAAACATAGAATGCATACATGTTTATAATGGATTGTCTCTTCCTCGTGAAGATTCTGATTGAAGACTCAATGAAAACTAGGCCAAGACTAAGTAAGTGAAAGGGTTCAATAAAGAATTAAACTTTGCACCAATCTAATGCAACTGAGCTATCACCTAGCTGATCATTTTAATTCCACATTGGTAAATCATGATCTCTAGATATTACCTGTACAAAGATCAAGGGCATTGTCATCCACATTTTTAAACAAGGTAGTTATAAGCAATGTTCTCCATGAGCGGTAACATGTATTGCCAACTTTGAAAATCACGAGGAAATAACGGTAACATGATACAAGATCAGCATAATAATTTCTCTTGACCACGTGTTATGTAAAATCCTGCATATATACAGAGCAATGAATAAATATTAATATTATAGACAGAAACAATTTATGGTATATTCTTATACCACAGTTCTCGTCTTCTTTATCTTAGGCTTGTCCCAAGCCGATAATTAACTTTAAAACCAATAAACTTTAAAGGCGTAATAGTCAAGAATTACGTTAACCCTTTCTGGCTTTCATACACTTGTAAATCTCCAGATTTCACAACCCTTAAACAATTAATTAGATGTGCAATTTGACTAATTTTTTGAGCAGAAAATTGCATATCCAACTCTGCCCTTAATAAAAGCCCGACAGATTCATGAAAGTCTACAAGTAAATTCCATAATGGGCTTTCGTTTTGAAGCTCTTTTAATGCCCTTTAAATGTATCTTAAAAGTTTTACAGGTTATTATAAGGAGACTATACTCCGCCATCTATTTTCTCTTGAAAAGAGGGAAAACACGCACAAATTTGCTAAAAAGAGCAACATTTCTACAAGGATATTAAGTAGCTGTCATTCTCCAAGAAACCTGTTGCAAGACAGGGGAAGTGGATCGGAAGTAAGGGGGTGCAGCAGTCGAGTCAAGAAACTTGGCAGAAATGGCAAAGCAGGTGTGTCACTTCATGTTCAAAGTAGCCAATTTCACAATAGAAATGTGGTCAAGAATTCTACTGTCTGAATTCGGTACATTTTAATGCATTTTAATAATATTATTGAATTTTGCTTCTACAGAAAACAATATTCTACATCAAGAAGTAAGAAATATCCTTAAAATATTTTAATTGTGAAATATTTCTCTAATTCAGACTTAAGCACTTATTCTCACCCTAGTATAAACTAGTATATTTTCCGCATTGTAGGAAGAAAAGGTCTAAATAGCACCTGCCCCTCCCAGATCATGCACAACACGACCGAACAACAATTCAGATAGTGTTCATTTTGGTTTATTATAGGAAAGAAGCCAAAATGCTGAAAATTTTATTTACAATCTTTCACTTGTAGAATTTTGTTGTGGTGTGAGTTTTTTAAACTCGACTATTTACAACAGCTACTGTTTGCAATAACTATCTAGAGGTTATTCTATAAAATATTTTGATTTTTCAATATACTGGAAAGTTTAATATGAATTAGGTTTGTGTCTGGACTACTAAGTTAGCATGCCAAGTTTAGTCTGGATTCGTCAACTCGTTTAGGAGAAGATGCGTCCACGGACAAAGAGAAAGTTTTCCTTTATATTGAATAGTTACATCACCGCCATGTCTTAATATGTATAGTATATATGTATAACCAAAATGCCTGTACCTCAACTTATATACTCAGCTCTGCCTAGCGAAGTGAGGCAGAAATGGATGAAATAAAATACCAAACTCACTATAAAATCACCGTCTAACAATGAAAGACGTGTATACTCTTAAACAATGAATGCATACTTGAAATTTGTTACATAACCAAAGCGAAACTTGTTACAAAGATGCAATGCATAAAAACACAAAATTAATCTTCCATAACCGAAAATATAATACAAAATTGGAAATAAAATCCTTTATCATAAATGCAATATAAAATGTAAAAAAAAAACAGCTTTAACACAGTTGGAAATACACTCACACACACTAAAAAAAGCCCTTTAAATAAGAAATTACATAAAAAAATCCTTTAATACAGATGCATGATATAACGAACGAGCCTTTAAGTTTAATAATGACCACCTATTCCCTTTAGGAGGGGGTAACCTAACACACTACTCTGAAAAAACAAATTTCAAAAACTTATATAACTGTCGATTCTTTTAAAAACAAGCGTTGGGCTGCGACCAGGACCGCCTGCGTCACTGTACTTAAGGAGTTAGTTGCACTACGGTACTTTTTATTTATATAATGATTTATTGATTATAAAAAATATTGTTTAGCTTTGCATAAGCGAAAGAAATAGTGAGAGAATAATTAACAGAAAAGTATAATTTTTTATATTCGTTTGAGATCTGTCAAATTAAAAGTTTGCTTGCTGAGATGTCACTTGAAATTTTTCGTTATGGAAAACCCCGTAACCTAAGCATTGTTTGAATATACGAAAATTTTGTGTTTTTCGATGTGTGTGTGTGTGTTTTTATGTTGTTTTTCGTCGTTAAACACAAAGCTACACAGCGTGCTATTTGTGTTGTGTCTGCTACGGATACCCGATTTTTAGCGTCAGAAGTCCAGAGACTTAACGTTGGGGGACATATAAGAAAATATTAAAGTGCAAATTCCAGCATCCTCTATCTTCAAAACACGGCAAGAGCTACTTCAACAATTTCTGTCTTTATGTAAATATCATGATATTATAAAACGAAGCGGTGTGTAAATCAAATATAATGAAAAATTCGAATATCCTTTTAATATTTTTTATATTAATATTAAAATTCGTTAGTACAACTTGTAAAATTTATGTCGACGTAAAAATTTACTATATAAAAGTACAATGTGTCATTCGTATTATAATAAACTTCTGTTAGAGGGCAGGTGCGTTGTTCAGGATCTTAAAATCTTAAATATTAGCGCGGTAGTGTGGAGGGTTGATTCGTGCTACGTTATTATTAAGATAATATATGTTTGAAGAAATTTAGCTCTTTAGTGTTTTTCATTATTATTAAAGAAATATTTAAACATGTATACTCCACAGCCTTCTTCAAGAAAATCTATTTCAGGGAAGAGAAATACCAACAGATCTTTCTCGTCGAGTAGAAGAAGCAGTGCAGTATTTGGTTCTGCTAAGAAATCACCGTATACACCAGGGTAAGTAAATGGGAATGTTCTTGATTAAAGTAAAACACAAAAAGTGGCTTAATGTGGGTTCAATTCAAAGCAAATCCATGGTACTTTACAAATAGCATTTTGATCAATACATTACTCAAATTTGCAGATGATATTAAGGTCTTGGGTGTTGCCAATGCTAGCTGTGAAGAGGATGCTGCTGATTTACGTAAAAAGGTTTAAATCATTTAGGGAGTTGGACAAATAAATAGCAAATGGGTTTTAATTGTAATAAATGGAAGATAATGTATGTGGGTTATCATAATTTGAATTAAAAGTATAATTTGGATGGGAATAACCTTAACAGTATCACAAAAGAAAAGGGTCTTGGAGTAATATTTGATCAGTTTAAAGCCATCCAAGCAATTTGCTATTGCTAGTGATAGGACAAATAAGATTTT